TTGCCTAATCCGTTGATATGTTGACTCCTACAACATATGTTCTTGGCACATACTCTGATTCTTCCGACCCGATGTTCGATCTTTGACTCCGACCTAACGTTCGATTCTTTCTTAATTATTTTACCTTTATCCACGTAGTTAATCTTGTATCATTTATCTCAATACATTTATTAGATTATTAATTTATTAATTGATTTCATCATCAAAATTCGAGATTCGACATGGATGAGGGACTATAGATATATGGTAATTGAGGATAGATGTTTCTAAAGGATTATATTCCCTTGTATTATATGGAAATTGCGGCATAGTGGTCTAGTACATCCGTAGTCAATGAGTCGGGTGAATTATTATGAAGATAATAATTTACTGAGCCGGAAGGAGTTCTAACACATATGACTCATGGTCAGCTCGATATTAGCCCTATCTTTCTGTTTGGGAAATTAGTATGATTTATACTTAAGATTGCATATACTCTTATTGATAATAGTAAAAGAATTAGAAAGTGATATTTTATTTTAGTCATGCATAAAGTATTGTACTTAGTGGTTCAATTGCATCGTTACTTTTTGTTTAGAAGTCGTGTAATCGAAATCAAATTTGTAGTTCATAATATTGAAATTGGAACAGTCAAATCTTTGACAAATTTATCTCAAATAATCCAAATTCGAACTCAACACTTAGTTTTAATATGCTGGTTTAGTGGTAATTCTTTGTGTATGTTGTGATCTATTGCAATTCTATATATTTTTAAATTTGTTTTTTTTATGTTTATAAACAGCATTTTTTGAACATTTTATTAGCATGTTATTCAAATATTAATATTATTCTGAATTATTTATGAAGATTATTACTGTTTTTTTTTTTTTTGTAAATGTGTATTATCAAGCAACATCATTTGGTAACATAGGCGGCAATGATCATAGAGAAAGCACGTTGAATACATCAACACAGGCATTTTGCTACTTGTTATATAAGCATCATTCTCAATATTGTTTGCAAAATTTTTCAATCTTCAATTGGAACATCGGTAAAACATTTCCTTCAACAAAAAATTAAATATGAAAACAATATTGAAAGGCTTGATTTGGAATGCAATTGGAAAGATTCGAGGAAATCACAAAGACTGCAAAATATTGTTGCCATAACTGAAAATTAGCATCTACATAAGAATGGTCATATCAGTTGAGTTGTAGCAATGGGCACAAGAGTGAGCCTGTGAAGTATACAAGTTCTGGTCACTTCACTGAAAATGTTGCCCACATCCACAACTGGTTCCAAGATAAAAGAAAGCCAGAGTGACACAACACACCTTGATAGAGATGCCATAGAACCTTGTTGTTTACAATATCTCCTCCAATACAAAATGAGCGGAGAAAGAGAAAACTAAATTAAGCATAACAAATTACTTCTCATTGTCAAGAATTTATTTGGCAGCTGAAGATACTGTAGCAATCTCCATGGTGTTAATACATGAGAACTAACGTTAACCTATTAAAAAAAGAAAATAAAAAAGGAAGAAAGAGAGAGGAAGGCTTCTTTGAAGTAACAGCCATGATCTCTTCCAGTTAGTGAAAGAATGCAGTCACATCTTTAACTCCCTCTCTCTTATGTCTTTCTCTCTACCTGCAATGATCCAGAAAAATGTGGATGAAAGAGATCAGAAGTCGTGGATTATAAATATTGCTCAAATAATTAAAGAACGACTTCCTAAAGGGGCATGATTGTATGGAGTGACATGAGGTCATGAATCATGGATAAGCTAGCAGTTCCATGATCAGATACAATTTTGGTAAGAACATGTTAGTTTGGCAAGTCCCATAGTCCCATATCGGGAAAATCAGACTTGTTGTCTTTTATTGGAACTATAAATAAGGGCCTGGGCTTTGAAGTCAGATGCACCACAAGAAAAACCTAAGTGTTTGCTTTGGGTTTAAGTCCACACTCAGTTAAATAGTTTGAGCTTATAGTTTGGATTTTTTCTTGTTTAGTATTTTTGGGTGTTTTATGGCCTAGGAATATCTTCCTAAGGTATTTGTAATTGTCCCTTTCATAGTAATGATTTGCTCCTCTTTCGTCCGTGAATGTAGGTCAAAGTTAATTCAAGACGGAGTTGATTTGGAACTATAGGGGGCTGAGAACATTCCAGATGGTACATCAAAGGAAGATCTTGCGGGTATGGATAAGAAGGCCCAATCCAACATTATTCTAAATCTCTCTGACGAGGTTTTACGGGAGGTAGCTATGGAGACTACGGCTAAGAGCATGTGGGACAAGCTTAAAGCCTTGTATATGAAGAGGACAATAGAGAATCGTCTCTACTTAAAGCAGAGTTTGTATATGCTTTGGATGATTGAAGGTACATCTATTCTCTCACATCTTAATAAATTTGATTCCTTGATTATGGATTTGGAGAATATAGAGGCAAAAATTGATAATGAGGATAAGGCCTTGTTACTTTTGTGTTCTCTTCCCCAATCTTTTAAGTATTTTCGTGATACTATGATTTATGGAAAAGAAATAATTTCATATCAGGAAATTAAATCTGCACTAAAATCTAAGGAGCAGATAGACAGAGATATCATTGGGGAAAGTAGAGGGAATCAGGCTAAGGGTCTGATTGTCAGGGGTAGAACAGATAAAAGAGAATTTGATAGTAGTAGATCTAAATCTAGATCTAAATCCAGACATAGAAATTTGGAATGTAGATATTGTCATAAAATGGGGCACATTAAGGCCGATTGCAAATTAAAGCAAAAGAAAAAAATTATTGAGAAAACTACTGAATCCGCTGAAGATAGTGTAGCAACTGATGAGAATATTGAAAATATTTTCTCTGCTACTGATGACAGGACGAGGTCAAAAAATGAATGGATTTTAGATTTAGGTTGTTCTTATCACATGTGTCCTAATAGAGATTTGTTTTCCACGTATGAATCTTGTAATGGTGGAATTGTTTTGATGGGCAATAATGCAGCATGTGATGTTGTTGGTAGAGGAACAATCCGAATTAAAATGCATGATAGTATTGTGAGGACGCTCACTAATGTTAGACATGTTCCTGATTTAAAAAAGAATCTCATCTCTTTAGGCACTCTAGAGGCCCTTGGGTGTAAATACACAGCTGAAGGTGGAGTTATGAAAGTTTTTAGAAATGCTCTTGTTGTTATAAAAGCTTGTAGGTCTGGTAGCTTATATATTCTGCAGGGAACTACTATCACAGGCTCGGTTGCAGTCTCATCATTATCATTGTATTCAGACCTTTAGGGTCCAAGTCATGTTTAGTCTAAGGTTGGTGCTAGGTATAAGTTGACTTTCATTGACGATTATTCTAGGAAAGTTTGGGTTTATTTTTTGAAGCATAAAAATGATACTTTTCTAACCTTTAAACGATGGAAGGCTTTGATTGAGAAGCAAACAAGTAAACAGATTAAGCGGCTTCGAACAAATAATGGCATGGAATTTTGTGAAGGTGACTTTGATGAATTCTGCAAAAATGAAGGAATTGTTCGGCATCGCACTGTTAGGATGACGTCTCAGCAAAATGGTATGGCCGAATGTATGAACAGAACACTCTTGGAGAGAGCAAGGTGTATGATCTCAAATGTAGGGTTGACAAAGGACTTTTGGGCAGAGGCGATTAATATGGCCTGTTACGTTATCAACCGCGCTCCTTCTACAGCACTTAACTTTAAAACTCCAAAGGAAGTTTGGTCAGGTACTCCTGCTGATTACTCTGATTTAAAAATTTTTGGGTATCCAGCATACATGCATATAAATGAAGGAACATTAGAGCCTCGAGCTAAAAAGTACATTTTCCTTGGGTATGCTTCTGGGGTGAAAGGATACAGATTATGGTGTTCTGATCCCAAATCCCCAAAATTTGTAATCAATAGAGATGTTACTTTTGATGAATTATCTATATTATCTTCTAAAGAGGATTCTACTAGTTGGACAAATGATACTGCACAGAAGCAGGTGGAGCTTGAAATTGGTAGGTCTGATTCTTTTCAGTCGAACTCTTCTACTCAAAGAATGCCAGTAGATGGTCCCGAGTCTACTAACGCAGATAATCCAGAGGAAGAGCAATATTCCATATCCAAGGATAGACCACGGAGAGATATTCGACCACCACAAAGATATGCAAATTTGGTTGCATATGCTTTGTCTGTTGCAGAAGAAACAAGTGAAGTTGGTGAGACTACTACCTACTCAGATGTAGTTTCTTATGATAATTTCGCTAAGTGGTTGATTGCGATGAATGAAGAAATAGAATCTCTCCATCGGTATAGAACTTTGGATCTTGTGAAGCCGTCTTCGGGTAAGAAAATTGTTGGATGCAAATGAGATACTATTGCTGAGGGAAAGGCCCTTATTCAGAAAATTCATACGAAGGACAATCTAGCTGATGTGCTTACGAAGCCTCTTCTGGTTTATAAGTTCAAACAGTGCTTGGACTTGGTTGGTGTTCATTGTTGGTGATTGCTCGTTGGGGCTTTTATGAAGAAGGTGGAGCAAGTTTTGTTGGGACATGCCAAGGTGGAGATTTGTTAGTTTGGCAAGTCCCATAGTCCCACATCGGGAAAATCAAACTTGTTGTCTCTTGTTGGAACTATAAATAAGGGCCTAGGCTTTGAAGTCAAATACACCACAATAAAAACCTAAGTGTTTACTTTGGGTTTAAGTCTACACTCAGTTAAATAGTTTGGGTTTATAGTTTGAGTTTTTTCTTATTTAGTATTTTCGGGTGTTTTATGGCCTAGGAACATCTTCCTAAGGCATTTGTAATTGTCCCTTTCATAGTAGTGATTTGCTCATCTTTCGTCCGTGGATGTAGGTCAAGGTTAATTGACCGAACCATGTAAACTTGGTGTTCTTGTCACTTTTATTCTTTCCGTTTTATTGTCTTTGTCGAGTTGCCAAAATTATCCTTTGGTAAATTTCCTAGGGCTAGCTCAACAAACTCAGAAAAGCCTATGCGTTCTACAAAATTAATATAAGACTTTATCAAAATTCACCCTTTTACATGACCATTTATATTTTCTTTGCTTCCAGAAATGATCCGTGCCATTTAGAATCAATCCAGGATGACACACCAAGCACCAACACATTGACTTAAAAGAGGTGTTTGAGAGTTGTCACATCCACCAGGAAGCACTTAGAAAAGCTTAATCAAAATCTAGCAAGCAGCTAGCTGCTGTTTCCCGGTCAAGCTTCAAGAAGCCCCCAATAAGCACCAACTAACTGGTCCTAATGGTCTTTGAAACTTGCCACAGCCTCCATGCTTAGAAAATCTTGACTGAAATCCAATAGCTGCTTCTCACTTAGAGCTATGTTGAATTCCTTCCTACACAACCACAAGAAAGTCTCTAACCAAATGGAGTTCATCCATCTTTGACTTTAGATGGCACGCGCTGCACAGGAAAATTCAATTGATTCTATCGAAAGGAAAATTCACTTTGGTTGATAATGGCGAGACTGACTATACCTCTGTGCTTTGGATGCAACTGAATCCATCGCGAACGAGCTTGTGAACAGCATCCCGGAGTCTGCAGTAGTCGTTCTCCACATTGTACACCTGATGGGAAATTCTCGCATAACCCGTGACCGTGGCGCCGCTCTCGTCCGTCGCCCCTGCTGCCTCACCGTCCTTGGGTGGTGACTGGTAGTGGATGGGCACTTCGATCTTGAACTCATCCCTCAGCAGGGCCCTGAGCTTCATTGCGTCTGTCTCGCTGGAGATTCCTAGGCAGCCCGGCAGGCCCACCATTATCATGCTGCAGCTCATCTCCGGCGGGCACCCGAGAAAAGTTCCCCAGAACTCGGCCAGCATCTTCCCCATCTCCACCACCTTCTCGTGGTTTCTCCGCCGGATCCCCTCCAAGCCGCCCTCGAACCTCTCCACGAACTCCACCACCGCTGGCACCACCAGCTGCGGGGTGTAGTCCCGGTTGCCGATCCACCCGCTCTCGAGTGGGAGGCCGTTGCCGTACTCGTGCGAGACCACGGGGTGGTGCAGGCGCGGCGCGGCCGCCGATGACCCCCTCGTGTGCAGGAAGGCCACCGAGGACGGGCAGAAGAGCCACTTGTGGAGGTTGCTGGTGTAGAAGTCGGCTCCTATGTCCTGCACGTCGACCTCGACGTTGCCGATGGAGTGGGCACCGTCGACGAACACCTGATCGACGCCCTCCTCGCGGCAGATCCGGGTGAGCTCCTTCACCGGGATCACGACGCAGGGCATTGAGGTTATGTGGTCGATCACGGCCAGGCGGACCCTCCGGCCTCCGGCCCGGCAGAGGCCTAGCGTCCGGCGGAACTCGGCGACGACCTCGTCCGGGGAGGACAGCGGGAAGGGGAGGGGGACTTCGACGACGTGGCCGCCGGCGCGGGTGACGTAGGCGTGGATGGACCGCTTGACGGCGCCGTAGGCGTAGTGGAGCATGACGACGGCGTCGCCAGGGTTGAAGGCGCCCTCGATGAAGGACCAAGCGACGTGCTGGAAGATGATGGCGGCGGCCGTGGTGGCGTTGTCGACGAGGGAGACCTCGTCGAGGTGAGCGGCGTTGATGAGCTCCAGGACGAGGGAACGGGAGCGGGTCAGCGAGGGGTGAAGGCTGCTGAAGTAGAACTCGTCGGGCTGCCGGAGGAACAGGCGCTGCCACCGGAGCTGAGCGGCGAGGACGGACGCCGGACAGCAGCCGAAACTGCCGTTGTTGACGCGCGCCACGGCGGGGTCGTTGTGGGAGAACTCCTCCACGATCTCAGCGGCGGAGATGGGCGCAGGGTGAGGCCGCGGCCGCTTCGAAAGCCGACCATCGGCCTCACCGCAGCCGTTGCCATTCCTGTTCTCGGAGAGGCGGTGGTCGTCGCGTGGAGCGTCCATTTCCAACGGTGTCTCCCGGCGTGGACTTTCGTTGGTCAATCAAATATGGGGAGCGCCCGTGGCTTTTCTGACCGCGGATATGTGATAACCTCCTGTCCTCCAGACACTAAAGCATATGACCTACGAGCAATCGTTGGGCATGTAGTGCGGCATTAAAATAGAAAGGAAGGCGATGATGCATGCGATGGGCAAGCTGGCATGGTTGCTGTTAGGGTGTGCGGCAGCACATGGAGGTACCGGCTGTTGGACCAAAGCGAACGTATGTTCTATGTCGTGACCAATGGAAGTTGCTGAACAAAACGAAGTGTTTGGCTATTTTATTGTTCCTGATAAGTTTGTTCATAGAGCATAAGGCAACCTACATACAGCATGGTGCATCTCGGCATTGCTCCTAAGTCGATCAGAATTAGCATCGATATAAATAGAGTGATCGCTATGAGATAGACTAGGAGATATGGGAGGACACAATAGTGAAAATGACAAAATTTGTTTGTATGATAGAATAGGGAATCCAATCTCCGCAATCTCATATCTGAACGCGAGGCTTCTTTACCCTTGCTATTATTTTCTCCTTATGATATAATAAGCATGATTAATACCCCCTATGTCCGTCTCATTAGGTTAAGTTTCACCTCAGGTTAACAGAAAAAATAACTGCATGTTAAGCAAAACCTGTACAGTTCTTGTTCCGATGTTTACAGATTATTATATGTTTGGCTTGCCAACATGATCCTGACTCATATCCCATTACACATCTGCTTATTTGTCAGATTAATTTGTTTAGTTTGCCGCATGTTCCTGACTCATACCACATTATGTATATAGAGAACGGAAATTAAACCAAACAAAGTTAGCGCAGGTCAAACAATCATTCATCATGCATAGTTGCGATGTCATAAAGCTGATCACAGACAGTGTATCTTGCCATCTAGGCCACAAAAAAAACGTTATTGATTCTACTTAAGCATTAATATCACAATCCACGTGAACCCTTTGAAGATGACCTACACAAGTTAAGAACAATTTAAGCAAAGGGCTCAAAGCGGACATAAGCAATAGATATTGTTTCTGTGGACTCAGCCCACATGTTTAGCCTATAGTGGCTTTAACATTTCACACATAAAAATTGAGGTGAAAAATTGTAGCACTAACTTGATTCAAAAATAAGAAGAAAAAGATAGAAAAATAAGAGAATAAAAGGGAAAAAGATAAGGACAACGCAGAAAAACTGTTCTCAATCATCCAATAGTATTCTCATCTCAGGTTAAATCAGATCTATAGTAGATTCTTACTGTAATTACTTGGGGAGAATTTGGATGTTGTACACAATAACATAATCCTTGTATCTCAATTATTCTCCTAAAATTGTTGCTAGGGTTTTGGGTAAGAGATTAAGATTTGTATATTCATCATTTTTATAGTGGATTATTTCTAGTTTGCCCCGTGATTTTTACCCTTCACGTTGGAGGGATTTTCTATGAAAATCTTGATATTCTATTTGATTGTGATTTCCATTTAATTCTGCTACGTGTTACGACCTACTAGTATTTGTTCATATACAAAAGTTTATTTCTATTTATATCCTATCAACTGATATCATATCAAAGTTTATTTCTATTTATATCCCATCAACTGGAATCATAGTAGGGTTTTAATGATTTAATTTTTATGTTTGAAAATGGAAGCTGGTAGTGTTTCTCGTATGGTTAGCTTGAATGGAAACAATTGAATGATATGAAAACAAAAAATGGAAGATCCCTTGTATTGCAAAGATTTGTATGGATCTTTGTAGGGGGATAGTGCAAAGCCTGCAACTATGACAGATGATGAGTGGAAGAGGTTAGATTGAAAAACAGTTGAGTTTATTCGATAGTGGCTCGATGATAGTGTATTTTACTATGTTTCTACTGAAAGTTCTTTATATTATTTTTGAAAAAAGTTGAAAGGTCTTTACGAAAGAAAAACAACTGGCAACAAAGTTTTCTTGATCAGAAAATATATAAACCTGAAATATAAAGAGGGTGCTTCTATAGCTGAGCATTTGAATAAAGTGCAGAGTATCACTAACCAGTTATCCTATATGAAAATGTCTCTTGATGATGAGTTGCAAGCATTGTTACTTCTCAGTTCATTACCAGAAAGTTGGGAGACATTGTTAGTTTCCCTTAGTAATTCTACGCCATATGGTGTTGTCACCATAGGTCAAGTAACAAGCAGTTTGTTGAATGAGGAGCTGAGAAGAAAGAATTTAGCAACTTCTCATAATGATTCATAGGCACTTATCTCAGAGAACATAGGAAGGTCAAAGTCCAAGGATAGAAGCAATTTACGCATGGGTAGAAACAAGTCAAGATCAAGAAAAGATATTATTTGCTATAACTATGGTGAGAAAAGACATTACAAGAACCAATGCAAGCAACCTAAGCAAGAAAAAGAGAAAAAAAGTTGAGTCTATAGAGTCAAAAGATAATACTACAACTATAGTGTAGGGTGGTGATTATTTGATTTTGTCTACTTCTAATGATATATTTTTTTTTTTGGTGTCAGGATCTTGAGTAGGTGATTGACATAGGTACTTCTACTAGTTATATGAGCCCTGCAAGCTAATCACGTGAGCCTTTTTGCTTATTATTTTTTTTGACATTTATCACTTTATGTCGCTTATTACATATATATATATATATA